TGTGTCTGACCCATATTAAATGTTCTTTAAATGTTTATCATGTGAATAACTGAACAAATGCAAGCATACTGGTAAGCAATTTTTGAGAAGGGTCTGTGTATCAGTCTTTGTTTCCATTGCTAGAAAATGATGGAACTTCCAATCTCTCATCATCAAAGTATTTCACAAAGCTGTATAAACAAAATGTGTTAGCATCTCTCAGCTTCTCAATTATGTTATAATCAGCAACAATTAGATCTTTTCACAACAGGTCTTCCTTCAATCAATATATTCTCTTTTCTAAATCGTTCCCTGTCTTGTTTGTTCAGGCTATTGTAACAAAAATATACCATAAATTGGGTAACTTATAAACAAGTGAGATTTACTTCTCACAGTTCTAGAAGCCAAAAGTCCAAATTCAAGGCACTGACAAAACTATATCTAGTGAGAGCCTGTTCCTCATGGATGGTACCTTCCTTTAAATGGCAGAAGGAGCAAACAAGGTCCATTGGGCCTCTTTGATAAGGTCATTAATACCATTCATGGCAACTATGCCCTGATGACCTTGTCACCACCATTTAACACTATTACATTGATGATATAAATTTCTGAATATACAGCCTGGTTATTGTTAGCTTTGCTTTTGAAAAAAATAGTATTAGTATAGCCTCCAATCTTTTCCTACTACCTACTAGTCTTACTTCTCTATTTCTATAGCAATGTTTCTTAACTATAACAATGCATTATAAGTTCCTCAAAAGTTTGTAAGAACCTGGATAAGCACTGTGAATGCTTCACCTTATGTAATAACCATTCCTATTCTGAGGCAAATCTTTGTACCAATAACTCTTCCCCATGTACCTGGTTTCTAAATCCTTGATATACTGGATGCCAGTATTTGGTAGTATCACAGTTTCTCAATAGCATTGTTAAAGTGTATCTATCCAAGTGGATAAACTACATCATGCTTTAATTAGCTAGCACACATAAAAGGGAACCATTGCATCCCTTCACCTGAGTATCTGTATCATGGACTATGATGAAATTTTAGCACTTAACATTACCACAACAGCTCTTACTAAGTCTTTACTCATGTAAACTGCTACCAGGCTAGGGCCTCACCAATCTTGTAATACTTACTGTTCCAGCATCAGGTCTTTCTTGCTTGAAGCATGTCATTTTTTTCTACATCTAAGTCTCTGAGTAAATGTTCAACAGAATGGGTCCACAGAAAGTATCACTTATGCTTTTTCAAATTCCTCAGTAAACTATTATATGTTCTTATTTTGCTACTTCTTTAGGACCAATTTCACCCTCATGGATTTCCCCTGATTCCTATGATACACATAAGACCACTTAAATTGTTTACCAAAACTGTAAGACTTTTAGAGTTAGAAGGGACTTTCCAGGATCATCTAGTCTTGCCTAACTCTATTTACAAAGAACAGGAAATCAGAAAAATTTAGTTACATACCCTAGGCTAGTCAGTAGTTTATCTGGGGACAGAACTAAGGAATTCTAAATACAAGTATGTGATACTCTTTCCATTACAGCCTTTCTTGTATTTTTACTTATTCTCTAAATGAAATAAACTATTGTTTATTATTATTTGTTTTATCTAAAACAATGTTCAATTTTTGTTTTAACGAGTATTCTGGTTACCACCCAAAGAGAGCACATATCCTGTTTCCTTTACTTATTTAAGTCCGTTCAGGGAATAGGTGAATGGATAACCTATCTCTACTCTGAAAAGCTGGCAAAATAAGCAGAAATTTTAAGGTGCCACAGGGATTGAGGAAAGGAATATTTTGGCTACAAATATTAGATCCTGGCCCTGGGACTATAAATACATTTAAGAGTAACAATTAACTTCCTAAGACTCAGACAAGAGAATAATTTTATCATTTTATTAATGAGATGATAAATACTAAATCACTGTATCACAATAATTTTTATACCATTTCTGATTGGTTTATGGTCAACATTACTTATGACCACACCTACATATAGAATCCATTGTATTGGTAATAAATAACAACTATCATCTACCTCCCTATCAGAAAATAAGCTGTGTAAGAGTTAATGTTAGTATTTCACTCTGTGATTTTTGCCTGCTTTGGGTAGACGTGCATAAATGTTTTCATAAATAAGTCCTCTGAAAAGAAAACTAGTCCCAAACCTGGAAATGTACAGATCTAAAAAAATGTAATAATTCTCCAAAAAGTAAACAGAAGTTATGAGACATTCCACAAAAATACCTCATGTCCTAGCCACCAAAGCTAACCAAAGAAATAAATGAATGCTCATATTAAAATTATAACATTCTTTTTCAACAAAGTGCTTACTCCTCTTCGTTTTGCCCTTTTCCCCGGAATCTCTCGTCAGGTTACCCTTTGTTTCCTTAGATTCCTTGTGCATAAGAGACTTCTACAACAACTCCTCTGTTCATTTTTTAGAAATACCAAGCAAATAGTCAAGGAGATCAAATAAGTTCACTCCTTAGGATCATAAAAAGATTATCAGCAGACATACAGACTAGACTTTTTAAGTTAGTACTAGTATTTTACTAATGCTTTTACTAAATGTTACTTTACACAGTTTCTACAAAATCTAGAAGTAGCAAAACACTATCATGTTAATTAATTCAAAGGTTGAGGATACAGGAATTTGTTCACTCAATCGCTTTTTCTAATGTTTTTAGTATGTTTACAATTGATTTATTTCACTTCAAATGTCTGTGGCTAAGTTGAAAATTACTGAATTAGAATTAACTGTATCAAATCCAAAACATTGGATGTCCTTTTCCTATTTGTTAAATTTTCAGACCAAAACATTTTAAAATTATTTTATTTAGCAAGTCAAAACTAATTCTTGATTTATTACCATCATTTAGCTTACATTACATAAACAACACTAAGTACTAACTTATATAAACCCAAGTTCTTTCCATAGTCTCCCTTAAATTCACAAAACTGAAAAATCTAAATCAAAAACAACAAAACTACAGATTAAAAAAAAAAAAAAAGAATAACTTACTGAAAAAATCTTTAAAGGCGTTTAACCAATCCATCTGAATAAAAATCCTGTGTTCTCTTTTGTAAGTTTGTTAACACAGCTCAGGATAATTCTCAGTCAGCTTCCTGGTCTGTTCTGCAACACTGAAACTTCCCACACCCAATCCATGTGACCTGGCTGACACCCAAGCAATAGAAAGTTTTTCTGAGGCTTCTCTCTTTCCAAAACCCTCCCCCAACCCCAAAGTAGAAAAGAAGCTATAAAGCAAGTAAATCATCATGGCCAAAAATGTGAGCTTATTATTTACAATTATTTTGGAAGAAGAAACATTATAACACATATATATTTTTTAATAATTAAAAATATATTCACACGTTCATCCTTTTGTTTCCTCCTTTTCCTTAACTCCCAAACATTTTAACTAACTAGTTAGACTAGTATCTATACTAGTATAATCACTGTGAAACGAATTAATTATGTGGGACACTTAAGTTACCAAAAAGGGGTGCAGGGCTGAGGGTTAGCTAAGTGGTAGGGCACTTGTCTAGCATGCATGAGGTCATGGGGTTTGATCATCCCTAGTACCCACCCCACCAAAAAAAAAAAAAGCCAAAAGGGGTGCAGAAACTCTTGAGAAAAAGGAGAAGGCAGACAGATGCAAAACAAGATTCATATCCTTATACAGGCTAACTACAGATCACTAATGTAAAGCCATGTTTCTGAACACCTTGGAATACAGGTAGCAATAACTATAATATTATAATAAAGTTAACAACAATTTCTTAAAATAGAGATAAGTCTTTGGTTCAGAGACTGACATTATAAATACTTAACGGAATTCTTACTTTCAATTGTACTGTATTTTAGCTTTTGCTGTACAATAGTTAAAAACATTAAACATTTGTCTTATATTGCTGATAGTTAAAAGACCTAGAATAACAATACTGTTGAATAAAAAATAAAAACTAATATAAAGCAGTGAGTCAAAATAATTTTACATATTTGGGGACTGGGGTTGTGGCTCAGAGATAGAGCACTTGCCTACCATGCGTGAGGCACTGGGTTCAATCCTCAGTACCACATAAAAATAAAATAAAGATACTGTGTCCATCTAACTAAAAATAAATATTTAAAAATAATAATACTGCATATTTGTCAATCATGCTACAATGATCCCAAACTATTTTTTACAAGGAGGAATTTTTCTTTTCTTCTAGAACAGTTAAGCAACAGCATATCTGCCTAAATAACAAAATTAATTTCTATCCCTCCCAATTCCTTCCTGTCAGCTAAGAAGAATTTAATTAAGAACATTAAAAAAAAAAAAAAAAAGCCAGTCTTCAACCGTACATATTTCCTTCCTATCAGCTTAGCCAAGTCCAGCGTGAAGTAGCTACTGCTGCCTCTGAGCCTCACGTAAAGCCAGTAAAATCAACAAACTTAGAGGAAGAATAGAGGGGGTAAAAAGGAAATCAAAATAGGAAGGACATTAGCCTTTAGATGCTAATGTACAGTAATGATCCACAAATGTTTTAAAATAAAATGGTTTGTCTTTTAAAGTGAAATTCAAAATGTCAAGTCATTAGATATTAAAATTTAGTAAAGTGCCATTTAAAATAAATTGCCTTGATTTCCAAGAAGGCTATACTGTGTTGTACTTACTTTTCCCTGCCTCAATTAGAGGCAGAATTTGCCTCTAAGTCTAAACTCCAACAGGATACTCTGAATCAAGGAGCTATAAGGTCAGAGTTAATTCTGCTCTTTAGTACCACTTGACCTTTGAACTTGGACCTGGATTTATAGAAACTACTAACTCTTATGACTGTCACAAGTCTCCTAACTTGAACACCTGCTATAAAACCAAACTTACCTAATGATTAACTGAAATTCCAGTCCTGGCCTTTTCAAGTCAATTTTTCCTACTCGTGTCAATTTTGTACAGTGAACCAAGTTCCAGAATCCATTTAAAAGGAATTTGTTTTTCTTTCAATACAAAAGCAACTTACCTAAAGTATCCTTCAGGTTTTTTACAATAGATGCTTTCCGAGCACTGTTTTTTCTTTCCACATAATTAGAAGGCACAAAACCTGTTTTATTCATGGAATTTCGAACTCTCCACCAGGATTTAGAATCATCCAGAAGCCATAATCTCTCATTCTTCTTGATGTCCAACTCTTGTTCTTGCTGAGCCACATAATCAAATTTGGCTACTACTACTACTTCTTCTGCCATCTTTTAGCAGCTTTAGCACTGTAAACAGAAAACATTTTTATATGAAATTCAAATAGTGGTAGTCTACATGCTTTTTCAAAAAAGACATCAAGATTACTGAAATCAAGGATATTGAAAGGCTCAAAGTAAAACTACAGAAAAAATACAACAGGTAAATAATAATTTTAAAAAACTTGTGTTATTATATTAACAGTGATATTAAATTAAGGCAAAAACCATTACTAGCAATGAAGTTCACCAAATGACAAAAAGTTCTATTCATATAAATAAGATCAAAACTTTTATATACCAAATAGCAGAAACCTGAGCAGTGTTTTTCTTTCCACATAGTTTGAAGGCATAAAACCAAAATAAATACACTGAAAGAACCATAAGGAGAAACTGACAAATCTATAATTACAGAGGGTAATTTTTAACATTTACCTCAGTAATGAAACAATCTAAGAGACAAAAACATTAAGGAACTGATATCACAATAGTAAGTTTGATCTAATAGACATATACTTCTAAACAGAAGAACAGATATGGAACATACCACAAAAATAGATCAAATGCCAGGCCATAAAGCATGTTTCACCAGGCACAGTGGCACACGCCTATAATCCCAGCAGCTCGGGAGGCTGAGGGAGCAGAATTGCGAGTTCAAAACTAGCCTCAGCAAATGAGAGATACTAAGCAACTCAATGAGACCCTGACTTTAAATAAAATACAAAATAGGGCTGGGGATGTGGCTCATTGGTCGGGTGCCCCTGAATTCAATCCCTGGTACCTCAAAAAAAAAAAAAAGTCTCAAAAACTCTCATGTAAATGGTATCCCCTTCATCCATATTCTCTGGCAACCATAAAAAACAAACAAACAAAAGACAGCTTTTTAAGAAACATGTTTGGAAACGTCTAAAAACACATGAATTTAAGAGGGAATCATATAGAGTTTGGAAAGTACTTAGAAAGTAAATGATAATGAAGACTATAGTCCTACTTTGTTGATGCAGCAAAAGGACTATGTAGAGGGAGATTTTAAAATAGTAAAAGAAGAAGAGCTAAACATAGAGCTGAGGAAGGTAGAGTGTAGTTCAATGTAAGAGCCTACATTTAGTATGCTTGAGGCCTTAGGTTCAATCCTCACCACCAAAAAAGAAAGAAGGAGCTAAAAATTTTAATTAATGAACTGAGCACTTATCCTAAGCAGTTGGAAAAATAAGGTCTAAAGAAAAATAGGAAGGAAATAATAAAAATAAGAGCAGAATTGCAGAATTTAATGAAACAGACAATAAAGATACACTAGAAAGTCCCAATAAATTGAAAATGTAGTTCTTTATCAAAACTAAAATTTGAAAACATTTCTGACGCAAAACTGATCAATTAAAAAAAGTACACCCAAATACCAGGAATAAAAAAGGAATCACAATTATAGATGCTGAAAACATTCAAAAGATCCAGCACTACTATAAGCAATTCAAATCTGAAATCAAGTGAAACACAAATTTATAGAAAAATAAAAAGAATACTACTAAATCAGTCATTAAGCAATCTTCCCACAATGCAAATGCTAGGTGATTTTATAGGCAAGTTCTAGGAACAAATCTTTCCAATTTATATAAACTATTTAAGAACAAAGAAAAATAATTACAAGCCAATTTCACTCTCCTGAAACCAGATCAGATCTTTGCTTTCTTCAGAGATTTATTTGAGGGGGCGCGGGGGGGGGGGGGGGGGGAGCGGTAGTGCTTAGATTGAACCTAGGGTCTACACATGCTAGGCAAGCAATCTACCACCAACCTGCATCCCCAGCCTGAGAGATCTTACATAAACAGCTACCAATTGCCTAGCAAGCAAATAAATTCAGCTTTTTATTTGGATATTGACCAGTAATCTCTTTTCAACAACCTTTGAAGCAAGTTTCTTTTTTTTTTAATATCCTTAGAAAAATGCATTTTAATCCAGAATTAAAATGGCAAGCAAAGTCTCAAAATGAGTCACACATTGTTTACTCTTAAGCATGTAAAAAACTAATGCAAAAAAAGAAAAAAAAATGATTTGATATTCAAGAAACAATGATGAGGGCTAGAGTTATCGCTCAATGGTAGAGTGCTTACCTAGCATATGTGAGGCTGAGTTCGAACCCCAGCACCACATAAAAATTAAAAAAAAAAAAAGTATTATCTCTACAACTAAATAAACAAATAAAAAGAAACTATGATGAGCAGAGAAATCAGAAAAAAATTATTTGTATTACTGCAACTTGATTTTGAAGTAATTTCAAACAGAAGATTTTCAACCAAGTAATTTTCAATTACTGGTACACTAAGGAAAGAAGTTACAACAATAAGCAATAGGCTATCTGAGAAAATGAAAAGCTAGAAGCAGGGATTTTTTTTTTTTTTTTTTAAATACCTGGCAGCAACTCTGTGTCCCATCACCACCCATTTAATCCATTGGCTTAATGAAATTCAATTCTAAGTCCCAAAAGAATCTATTTTGAAAACTGACAAACTGATACGAAAATTTATCAAGAAAAGTAAACATGTAAAACTGGCAACAAATGTTCTGGAAAAAATAAGAATTGGAATGCCAACATTACAGATTATGTACCCAGCATTTCACAATGTCTCTTTTTCAAAATACCCTTCTACTAGCACCTCTTCTGTCATTAGCTTAGTCATGCAAGTTGGGAGGTTGATTCTACTTATAAAAGTGACTCTATAGACTAATTCAAGCCCCACCTGAATATTAGAATCACTTCCTGAACTTATCACAGGAGACCTACTGGGAAGTAGAGCCAGAGTTGCTAAAATAAGCACTGAAAGCTGCCCCCTGAACCTCCAGTTACTTGAGCTAATAAATTTCTTTACCAAGATAACTTTAATTGGATTTTCTGTTATCCTCAGTAAAGACAGTTACCCAATCAGATATCAAAATGTGCTTTAAAAAGAAAAATGGAAGTCCCAAAAAACCAAAAGCCAAATGTTGTCTTTGATATGAGAATGCAGAAGCATAATGGCAACTGGGTGGGGGAGGGGGGAAGCATGGGAGGATCTGAGGAACTTAGATAGGGCAAAGGGGAGGGAGGGGAAAGGAGGGGACAAAGGGGTAAGAATGATGGTGGAATGAGTTAGACATCATTACCCTAAGTATAAGACATGAATGGCGTAAAAATATTCTGTGTACAAATCAGTGTCTTGAAAAACTGTGCTGTGTAATATGAAATGAATTGCATTCTTCCATCATGTATAATAAATCAGAATAAATTTTTTAAAATAAAATATTTTTAAAAATGAAGTAACTTAAAATAAGATGATACTAGTACAGAAACAAACAGACCAACAGAATATTCATTGAGGTCTACAAAATACACACACAGGTGGCTTTAGAAGCCCTCTTCTCTAATATACAAGTTTTGAGTTCTTATTTAGGCTTCTTAAAAGTAGAGTACACTTCAAAGCAGGTGATGTATAATCTGAATATAGAAAAAGACTTCAGTGTATAATCCCTCCAAATATTTAAATGTCTCTCCTAAACCAAATTCAAAGCAAGTAACTTTTTACAGTGATTTCCTCTGGTAAGTTGTTTCAAATCAATCAATCTAGTTTTCACAAAAACAATTCTCTAATTTTAGCACAATTTTTTTTTTGTTTATATCATACATAAAGTTTTGACAAGAAGCACCTTTGAAGAAACTTTACATTTGAATCCTGGTGAACAGATTCAATTTAATTGGGGAGAATCAAAATATGCCAATGTTATCAAGTTATTATGCTTCACAATAGAAATGGATAGAGTTAATCAGGCAAGTCAGTTAAGAAATTTCTACTCTGTACATGCAAACATGAGAATTTTATATATGATAGGTGGCATTTCACCAAGAAAATTAAGTTATTCACTAACTGATACTAGGACAACTGGTTATCTATTTGGGAAGAACTTTCCTACTTCATAAAACACACATACACACACACACACACACACAACAGAGGACTTTCACTTCTGGGAAGTGAAATTGTGACACAGTTGTAAACTCCCTAGGTTATATTTTTACCCGACTTGAGATGAAGGTCAGTAAAATAGACACATAAATTGGCATATACAAAATAATAGCAACCTGTGCACTCCAAATAATGGCCCAAAAAAGAGATCCTGGCAAGACAGAAATCTTTTAGACAATAATTACTCTGACTCCAGACAAACAAAACAGAGAAAATGTGGCCCCACCCACACCAGCAAAGTCCACGTAGGAAACCTAGACTTCCAACTTTTCAGAGGCTGTAATGAAAAAATCCAACCTCCTTTTTGACTACCAGACAAAATCAGCAGATATCAAAGACCTCAATATATTCAACCAAAGGATCTATTTAATGTTTATAGAATCCTCTACCCCAAAATAGCACTTTATCAAGTGTCCACCAAATAAATACCAAGAGAAATCATAGCTTGGGCCATAAAATAAAACCCCACAAAATTTAAATGAATTGAAATCACACAGTGTGTTCTCCAAGCACAATGGAATCAAACTAGAAATAAGTATTACAAAGTGCTACGGGTTGGACCCTACTATCCCCAGGATTCATGGGCTGGCGACTTAGTCCCTAATATGACAGTGTTGGGGTGATGAAACCTTTAAGACGCAGGGCCTTATGGTGGGTGATTAGATCATTAGTGGTACTGCCCTTGAAAGATACTAATGTAATTCTCACTGGAATGTGATTAGCTCAAGCAAAGATGGGTTGTTATAAAAGGAGTGAGACTGGCCCCTGAATCCCTCTGGCTTCATGTCTTGCTATGTGGTCTCTCCCTCTTGCAGACACCTGTTATGGTGTCATTTGCCACAAGGTGACATAGTCAACAGGACCAGAGTACAAACTGACAGGACTATCAATCTCGAAATTTTAGCTTCCTAAACGATAAGCTAAACCAATCTCTTTATATAAAAGTACCAAGCCTCAGGTATTTGTTTTAGCAACAACAACAACAACAAAAAAAAAAAAAAAAAAAAAAAACAGACTAATATACAAAGATAACTA